TTTTGTGGTTAAAAGAGAATGTGTATGCAAAACACATTTATTATTATTATTATTATTATTATTATTATTATTGTTACTAATTCACGTGCCTCCTCAACAACCCCCATCACTGAAAACCCATGCCCACAGGGGACCGCTGCTGTCTTTTATCACATGTGCTGTGTTCAACAAGAAACAGCCTCATTTGATTTCCCAAATGAGAGGGTTTTTTAAAAATTGTTTTTGTTATGGTAAAATACATTTAACATAAAAGTTACCTTCTTAACCTTTCAGTACGCAGTTACTGGTGTTAAGTACATGCACACTGTTGTACAAATCACTACCTTCTACCTCTATTCTGCCTGTATAATTCTTAGCATCTCATAAAGCTGAGATTCTATTTACCTCTCAAACCTAGTGTGGTTTTTAAAAATACCCAATGTGATCATTATTTCCCAATTGTTTCATGGAAGTTTTGATGGAAGAAGAGAGTGAGCTATTCTGATGGCTCCCCTGAGGATTTTCTTTATTTAAGGAAATCATTTAGCTGTTTTACTAATTATGTTTTCTGTATGTTTTTCCCACTTTTGTGAGATATAATTGATATAGTATTTGAGCATTACATGTGCAATGTAATGATTTTATATATGTATCCATTGCAAAATAAGTCTATCCACCAAAATAAGTCTAGTGAACTAACATCCATCACACCACATGGTTCCAATTTTTTTCTTGTGATAAGAACATTTAAGATCTGCTCTCCTAGAAGCTTTCAAATATACAATACAGTATTGTCAACCCTAGGGACCATGCCTCACACCCTGGGAATTCTTTTACTGCTGAGAATTTGTACCTCTGACCCTCTTCAAGCACTTTGCTCAGCCTCCAGCCCTGTCCCTAGAAACCACCATTCTGTTCTCTGTTTCTATGAATTTCCCACACCTACAAGGCTCTCCTTTTTCTTTGTCTTGGTTTATATCACCTGGCATTTTTTTCCTAAATGTAAATTGTGTTCTAGTCTTGAATTAATATCGCCATAGGTATTTCATTCACATAATTAAAGTTGTCAGAAAAACACAGTTTGTCTGGATATGTCCTTGACTCAGTTCAATATTGTTCCTCCATTAAAAAAAATATTAAACACTGATCTTACATTAATCAGTGTTATTCTTAAACGGTCAAGGTGTAACTGTGCACATTCCTCTCAGAGCCTTCTTCCTTTTGCTCTGTAGTATACAAGATCCCAGAAAACTGATCCCAGAAACTTCAACACAAAAGCAGCCTTGAAAAGACGGTCTCTTCTGAAGATGGGGTGTCTGTGGTTCAGGCAGGATCTGTCACCAACAGTGCCACTATGGTACGAGGTGACGTTGCTTGTGAGGGTCTGACTGTGCCATATGTTTTACTCTCTTTTCTCTTTCCTTTCCTAGCTTCTCTCAAGCACAACTTAGTCATATGAAAACGCTTGCTCCTATCCAGGCCGTGGTTACCCACATCCAGACACTGTAGTGGATTTCCGATCTGCAGTGGCACATAAGCTGCCCTAGTTTAAACTCTTTGCCAATATCCTAACACTTTTCCAATACTGATTCTAAACCAACCTGTTTAAGTCTTAAAGGTACAGTATAGTCCCTCTTTATTTGTGGTTGTAGTCATTTGTCACTTAAATGGATTGAACTCATGCCAGGCTCCCTGGCTGTCACTCATCCTGTGGGCTTTGTGTCTTCTAGGTTTTGATCCCAGTTTCCTTATATGTTTCCATTGAAATTGTCAAAGTATGCCAAGTGTACTTCATTAACCAGGACATCGAGCTGTACGACGAAGAAACAGACTCACAGCTGCAATGCCGAGCTCTGAATATCACAGAAGACCTAGGGCAGATACAGTATATCTTCTCAGATAAAACTGGAACTTTAACTGAGAATAAGATGGTTTTCCGAAGATGCACAGTGTCTGGCATAGAATATTCTCATGATGCAAATGGTGAGTTTAGGGTTGAGGGCTCCCCCTCTGGGTTGGAGCAGGGAACTCTGGGTCCAAAGCTGCCTGCAGGTGTGCACATCCATATGTATGCACAGGTACACAGGTGCATTCAGGTACAGAGGCACATGCAGGTACACAGGCACACACAGGTACACAGTTGCACACAGGTACATGCAGGCACACTGGTGCACACAGGTACATGGGTACACACAGGTACACAAGCACACATAAGTACACAGATATGCATGTGCACAGAGGTACACACAGATGCATGCAGGTATGTGGGCACACACAGATACACAGGTACTCACAGGTACACAGGCACATGCAAGTACACAGGCACACACAGGTGCACAGGTGCACACAGATACACAGGCACATACAGGTACATGCAGGTACACGGGCACACACAGCTACACAGGCACACACAGGTACACAGGTGCACACAGGTGCACACAGGTACGTGCAGGTACATGGGCACACAGGTACACGGGCACACACAGGTACATAGGTACAGGGGCACACACAGGTACGTGCAGGTACATGGGCACACACAGGGACACATGCATGGAAACTTCAGGGGTTCCTGATTTTCCAGGGAGAATAAGATATAGAAGTGCAGCTCTTGGGAGCCTGACACCTTCATAGAAAGGCACTTCTGCATGGCTGACAGCACCCTGCCCACTGCAACAACTCATGGAGTGGGCATCTGCTCAAGCATTGCTCATTTTCTGCCACACAAGCAGAACCAACCAGGGCATCAGCAATTCTTAGGCACCTGTCTCCCTGTTCTGCCACTCCAAGAGACAGAGAGGTTTCCTGATGTCCCCCGCTAGTCTTAGCCGAAAACTCTCAGGTCATTGGGTGATTCACACTGGTTTCTTCCCCCTTGGAAGTCCACATTCATGGAATTCATCTCAACTCCCCTTTCTTTGTCCACTGCTGCCTCTCCCCCCCCCCAAAAGCACGGGGTTGGGGGAGGGGTTGGCTCTGCTATATAAGCCCAGAGTGTCACTGGCATCACTCCCTCCCCAGCCAGGATAGTTGCTCTGGTCAAGATCTCCGCTCACATGCTGTTTCTGGGGTCATCACACGTCTACGATGGGGTACCTGCTCTGTAATCAGGACTCTTCCTTCTGGAACAGCATCCAAGAACATTAAAGAGACCCTGTAGTGGAAGCAGAAGCAAAAGCAGAACAGGGAAGTAACCTGTGGACAGCAGAAGGAAGCTGTTCTTTAGCAGCATTCGGTGAAGAGGATCAGCCGGAACCCTGAAACTGGGGAGGAGGAGTTTAATAGGACAAAAAAACAATTATGATTTCCACACGTCTTCCATGTACAATTAAAATCATAATATTAAACAGAAGGCACAGGGCTTTGTCCACTTCTTTTACTGTTTTACCAACCAAAGTAAGTGGTCAGTGACAGTAGTCCCTCGCCCGCCTGTCCCCAACCCTCCTTGTCCTCTTCCCATGGTTCGGCCACCTCACATGGAAGAACCAACCAGGGCATCAGCAGTTCTTAGGCACCTGTCTCCCTGTTGCTTCGCAGACAGCAGAACTCAGCCTGGTTGCAATGGAGTCGGAACCCAGGTCTGAAGTCAGGCCTGCAGCTGCCTTTGAAAGCTGGGCCTGAGACAGAATCCCAACTCAGATGACAATTGTGACCGTTGTCATGGGCTTACCCTAAAACCAAAGGGATCCACAGCCTCCAGAAGACACAGGCAAGCATTCCTGGGGGAGGCCAGTCACCTCCGTCAGTGACATGCGCCTGGGACAAGAGGCCCGGCTGGCATAAGCCAGAAAGAAAAGGAAAAATACCGGATGGCTTCACTTACAGGAGGAATGTAGGGGAACCAATGAAGGGAAACAAAATAATTACCATAAATCAAAAAACAAAATGAACAGGCAGCTATAAACCAGAGATATTCCGCAGGGGTGTAGGTGAGGGATCAGAATGGGAGGGAAAAGCTCAAGGGTCCATGATGATGGTGCAGGGGGACTGGTGGTGGGAATTTTACCCGGACAACACCTGAGAGGGGAAAACAGTGTACGAACAGAAGAACAACGTAAAGGGCATGGAAAATTTGAAAATCAATTAGTTAGTGAACAAAGGCAAAAAAGAAGAGAAAGCAAGTGCTTCTTCCAAAAGCCTGAACTAGGTGCAGGCCAGCCCTGCAGGGACCCGAGGCCGGTGCTCACTTTCTGGCGCTCCTGCTCAGTGCTTGAAGTTCTTAGTAGATGCGTGTCTTGGCTGAGTACTCTCGGGCGTGTCTCCCTGCGGAGCAAGCTGAACGGGCTGGCCAAAGCCAGGAGAACATGTTCAGAGCTATGGGTTAGCCGGACAGCTAGCTGGGCAGCAGCGCAGACGCGCCCCCTGTGACTCTCCTGGTGCCCATGTGGCCCCAGGAATTTTGCTCAGCGGCGCCCCCTGCAGGCTCCAGCCCAGCATCTTACTCAAGGGCTTGTGGGTTCCGACCCTGGCAGCCAGCGTCTACAGCAGGTGCCAGGGCGCCAGTTACAGCTCGCCACAGCCGGGCACCAGCTCCCTCTGAGCAAAGACTTGCAGTGGGACAGCACAGCCTGAAAACTGGGATGGCTGACCATGCAGATAGGTGCTGTTCTGGGCCCCAGTGATGCAGGCGCCCCTCGGGGCCCCAGGAAAGGACAAAGCCTGGAGCCCAGCTAGAGGGAGAACCACGCCTTCACCATCTCCCACTCCACTTCCTCTCATGCCCACCTGAGCACAGCGGCTGTATGTGAACCCAGCTCTGCCCTCCCCTGACTGGGGGGTGGCGTGATCACGTGCCATATGGACACTCTGGTATCACCTGAGTGCCACCTCCCCTCCCCGTGTCCTGTGGGCTTCCAGGCTTCTTCAGTTCTCTGAGACTCAATCTTCTCATCTGTGAAATGGGTGGAGACATCCCCTCGGCAGGTGGACTGAGGCTAGTGCTGTGAGAAAGCACTCCACCCACCCACCGCAGGGACCTGGCAGAGCCACTGTGCCATGGAGGGAGGGTGTGTGCACTCAAGTCACTAATGTCACCCAGCCTCCAGTGACGTGTCACCTGGTGTTCCTCTCTCCACAGCTTTGCGCCTGGCCAGGTACCAGGAGACCGACTCTGAAGAGGAGGAGGTGGTGCCCAAAGGGGGTTCGCTGCCCCACCTTGGCACCACGGGGCATGCACAGAACACCCGGGACATGCACAGGAGTCACAGCACCAAGTCACACCGGCGCATGAGCAGCCGGGCGGAGGCCAAGAGGGCCAGCATGCTGTCCAAACACACGGCCTTCAGCAGCCCCATGGTGAGCCTGCCGAGGCCCCGTGCGCAGGGCCTTGCCACCTGTCCCCCGCCCCTGTCCCTTGCCCTCTGTCCTCTGTGTTCAGCAGTGCAAAGCAGTTCTGCTCATCAGCCCCAGTTCTTCCAGCCAGCACCCTCTCCTCACACCCTGTGTCTTGGCCAGAACCCTGACATAGCCCTTTTCCGTGGTTTCCAAGGCTGGGGGCTGCTGGTGAGCCAGCAATTGGGTGACACATGAACTGAATAAATATCGGAGCAAGGTGACAACTATGAAAAAGCAAAGCCAAGTGAAAAAAAATAAAATGTTTTAGCTAGATGAGCCCACATCCTATTAAGCTTCTTTGTCTCTAGCCTTGTCAGCTGTCCAAACATTTGGTCAGGCAGGGAAATTTCCAGAAATTAGTGGCAGCCTCTAGAATATCCTTGTACAAATAAAATGTTTAAGAATTGAAAGGAATAATCCATTTTACTAACTTTATGGTGGCCTCATTCTTTCATATCTTTCAGAGCCCATTGAGAAGCTGCCGTTTAGACAGAGAATTAATGTCACTGATTGGGCTTTTATGCAGGGCGTGGGGAGGGGACTCTTAGCTTTCTGTGCACAGAAGTTTAGATGTTATTACTTCAGCAAAGCAATGTAGAAAATGTAGCCAGTGATCAAAGAATGGTCAAGTAAATTATGGTATATCCATTTGAAGCTGTTAAAATTATGTGGCCCTCCCTGGTGGCGCAGCGGGTTAAAGCACCGCATTGAGAATCTAAAGCCGCTTCCACATGAGTTCGATTCCCGCCTGCCCCGGAGGAGACCACACGGCGTGGCAGACCTCTCCTGACCCGCCCGCTGCTCCCCTCAGCAGTGTACTTCGTTGATCTGCCTGTTCTGTTCCCCGCTCTGTCTCTGGTGAAGCCTCTCACCGCCCCTGAGCCTCTGGCCTATACCCTGGTTCTGTATGCACAAATAAATAAATCTTTAAAAAAAAAAAAAAAATTATGTTTTCAAGTAACTCTTCAAGGTCTGGAAAAGGTCAGACAATATATTCCTGGGGGGGGAATGAAAACTGCCAATATATGTATTTGATTATATGAAATATAGATGTAGAGAAAAAAGACTGGAAGGAATTGTAGGGCATGTTTTTCCAAAAGTCTATATTACTATGAGGGGATATGATACAGATTTGTTAAATTTCCCCATCTTTAAGTTTTTGTGATTTTCACATTTTTGAGTTATTATATAAAATTTTATTATATAAAATTTCTTACATTATCGTAAGAACATGTATATATTATTACATATAAGTACATGCATCCCATTTCATATTTACTATATATTCCTATGTAATTTATATTACCACATATAATATATTCATATTTTAAGTTATCTAATACATAATCTTATACTATTAAAATTTAGATGTATCATTAAAAATAATGGATAATGTGCAACAATATGTTCTATATGTTCTAACACTGTTCTACACTATACATTATAATCATATATAAATATAATGGATGTATTATATTTCATAACTATATTTATATTTATATTCATGAGTATAATGGATAATTATAATATCATCAATCCAATCAGGAATCTTAAATAGATACTGCGACATAAGCTCAGCCCCCTGTTGGCCTCTGTCTCCTTCCCAGGAGAAGGACATCACGCCCGACCCGAAGCTGTACGACAAGGTGTCCGAGTGTGACCGGTGTCTGGCCATCTCAAAGCACCAGGAGCAGCCCCTGGCACACCTTTCACCAGAGCTGACCGACATTTTCGACTTCTTTATCGCACTCACCATCTGCAACACAGTGATTGTCTCGTCCCCAGAACAGCCCCAACAAAAGGCAAGTGCCCGAGGAGGGCGTGTCGGAGGGGCCAGCCCTGGCCTCATCCCCCTGCGGTCAGTCTCCCGGGAGGGTGGGGCCACTCTTTCCTGGGCACTCCTGTCCCGGCCTCTCCAGGGGCCCCGCAGCACCAGCTCTCGGGTTTCCCACGGGCAAGCCGGCTCCTTGCTGTGAGATGCCAGGCCAGGTGGCATGAGGCAGTGCCGGAGTGAGGCCAAGTGGGGGTGGACAGACACCCTTCCAGGCTGAACAGAGGGCAGCGAGCAGCTGGCCTGGGTGAGGTTGCCCTACTCAACCCATCCAGAGCCTCAGGGGCTCAGATTCACATGGAAGGAAGGACAGGATGGGCCAGGGGCCCAGACTCTGGGACAGGCTGCTGGGAGGTGAATCCTGTCCCCCCTACCCCACAGACCAAGCACTAGGCAAGCCAGTCCCCTCAGGTGCCTCGGAGCCCACCTGGAGTGAGGGGCAGTGGTAGGATTTTAAAGGCTCCGAGGAAACTATGGCACACAGTGAATGGATCTGATTCGAATGAGGGCTCGAATGCTGTCATCCCCGAAACATCATGCTACCTAAGGTGCTGGAAGCCACACACCCACCCGGTTGCTCTCTATTGGGGCTGACAATAAGGTTCTCTCTGGAGAGTGAGGTTTTAGGGGCGCTGGGATCCCTGTGACCAGGTGGGCCAGGGGCACACCCCGGCTGGGGAGCCTAGCTGAGGAGTGGCCGTCAGGCCGTGGCCCCGGGGGCCCACCTCACTGTCGCTGACTGCCTCTCCTGCAGGACAAGATGAGGTTTGAGCTGAAGTCGCCGGTGAAGACCATCGAAGACTTCCTGAAGAGGTTCTCGCCCAGCCGCCTGACCTCCAGCTGTGCCAGCATCAGCAACTTGGCCACCAAGTCCACGCACAAGTCGGGGTCCAGCATCCTGACTGCCCTGTCCAGTGACCCGGCGCTGTTCAGGCTGGAGGAAGGGCTGGAAGAGCCGGCCCCTGCTGTCTCCAGCAACGGCTGGAGGGACAACTGGGACCCCGAGCTCCCCGCCCAGGAGCCCGAGAAAACGAAAGAGCCGGTGAAGAAGCGCCTGGAGCTGTTCTACGAGGCCGAGAGCCCCGACGAGGCGGCGCTTGTGTATGCAGCCTGCGCCTACAGCTGCGCCCTCGTGGACCGGCAGCAGGACCAGGTGTCGGTGGAGATGCCGCGGCTGGGCCGGCTCACCTTCGAGCTCCTGCACACGCTGGGCTTCGACTCCATCCGCAAGAGGATGTCGGTGGTGATCCGGAACCCGCTCACCAACGAGATCGTCGTCTACACCAAAGGCGCCGACTCCGTGGTCATGGACCTCCTGCTGCCCTGCTCCTCAGGTAGCCCCCTCCCCGCCTCCGGGACGCACAGCCCCCTCCAGGTGGCAATTCTGCAGAGCAAAGCCCCGCCCCGAGTATCTTCCCCCCAGTAAAGTGACTTTCATAAATCTTTTTTTTTTTCTCTTATTACAAATTATTTTGAGATCATCTTGCTTAACCACACTGTCCATTTTAGGGCTATAGGTTCCAGTGTATGCTTCCAAACCACACCCCACACCGAAGCACCTCTGACCCTCCACCCTGGCCTACCCTAGTCCGTTGCCCCACCTCCCCACATTGCTCGCACCCCCCCCCCTTCTGGGCACCTCAGTTCTGCAGTCAGATTTCTAAGGTTTGCTGTTGTTTCACTGGCTGTTTCCAAGCAGTGCAGTTAGAGACCTGCTCTTGCCACCCGGTTCTTCCCTGGGGTCATTGAGAGCTGCCTTTGAGAATAACTGGAGCGTTGGGAGCCAGAGAACCTGGGAGGGTTGGGGCAGGGAGGTCAGGGAAGGGAGGACGGCAGTGCCTGAACGCCCCCCCAAACAGTGGGCTGCCATCCAGATCCAGCACCAGCATTTAAATGTAGACAAGGAAGTTTGGGGAGTTTGAGACTAGAAGTGTCCTCTTGCCCTAGGTTGTCCTGGACCTAGGGCAGCTGCAAAGCCCACGCCACAGTTTCTAGTCCACTTCTGAGGCTGTCTTAGACCACGGAGGGGGCACAGAGCCCACAAAGTGGGTCTGTGGCCTCTTGCCCATGGGATAATGCTACTTGTTTTTATGCTTTAGAGTTCCCTATAATGGTCGGGGTTGCAGAGGGGGAGGGGTGTGAAACCAAGGGTTTGGAAAGACGCGCACTTCTTTCCACATACAAATGCTTTTGGGACATGGCAGAGGAAGGGCCTGGGCCCCCACGAGTCAACCTGGTCACGCCTCCTTCCATGCTCAGGGCACAGTTCACCTGCAGGGGAAAGAAGTGTGTAGGTGAGGATGCCGCTGGCAGCTGGCAGGCCCCCACCCGGGCCACCACTTGTTACCCCTAGAGCTGCCGATTTCTCTAGTGTCCTGAAAACAGCTCTGTGTGGTTATTTTTGAGTAGGGGGTTCCGTACCCAGTGTTCCTACATCAGATCATGGCATCAGGGTTTTGAGAAGCGAAGTCAGATTTACTTCCAATGAGTTTGCAAGGACACAGGGCATTCATGTGAACCTCCCCTCTGGTTAAGATAGAAAGTGAAGTTGTACAGGTTTTGGGGACTGGAGTTGAGCAAAGGAGACATTGTATGGCTAAGGAGAGGGTTAGCGTTCTGCAGGGGCCCCTGTCTTTAGATAGCACCCTAAAGACACCATATCCACATCTCCCTGCTCCAACTGGCCTGGGGGCTCACTCAGAGGGAGTCAGTAAACCTTCCAGCTTGGCCTGTCTAAAAAAGCAAGTCTCAGAGAAAAGATTAGATAAGTTGCTCTTTTCCTCTCCTTTCTGCTTTGAGGGTCTAAAAGTAAATTAACCCTATACCTCTGGTTCATAACTTGCCTTAAAGCCCTGTGTGCCAGATATGCCTTTCCAGGGCTCTAGATGGAGCCAGGGAATACCTGATGTCTCAGCGTCTTCTGACCATAATGTCAGTGCTAGAACAGGACTCCTGACACCAAACTCAGGACCTTTCCATTGCAGTCAAAAAGGAAGGTAGCGCCTGTGTCCTCTCACTTCTCTCTTCACAGTGGAGGGACCAATGTCATAGCCCTGCACTTGGCCCCTTCCCACTTCCCTCTGGGGCAACAGAATACTGATTTCTATATTTTGTTTTGTAAAGCTCTACTTATTTATGCATAGAAGAACTGGGGTGTAGACCAGGGGTACAGGGTTGAGAGACAGAGTAAGGAGCCAAACTGACGGGTCTACTGAAATATTAAGGGGAGCAGCGGGCAAGGCAGGAGAAGTCTGCAGCACCATGTGGGTCACCACGCTGGTCACTGTCACCTCCCTGCTGCGGTGATAGTGTAACAGCACTGAGACTGAACCCCGGGCCACCAGAGCGCCCCACGACTGTGTTTGAATTCAGTCTTCCTCACTAGTTGTTGTTTTCAAACAATCAGAATCTGGAGTCATATTGTCATCACCTAGGAGTGTTATCACAACATCAGGGTAAACAGTCAACAAAATTAAAGAAGACTGGAGAGTCATCTTGTCAAAAATTTTAACTTCTTTAAGCACAGTTATCGAGGATAGTGTTTCTCATTTCCCCTCCCCCCCCTTCCCCCATTATTCCTTTTAAGGAGACTTTTTAAACATTTTTTTCTAATTGCTCCTCTGTGAAGTGTCCATGCCACAGATATTCTGTGTATCTGTCTGTGTACCCCATGTATGTCTGTGCTTTATATACAAAAAGGGTGGTTTGCCCCCAGGAGTCGAGTGTCAACCCCTTGAGGGGATGGAGGAGGGAGAGCTGTCTTCTCTGTGGAATATATGCTATCTAGAGTAAGTGTTTCTCCTGGGTCCATTTTATGCTAAAGCGACTTGGCTAGTAAACAACCTTCCGCATGCCAGGACCTCAGAGTGGCACACAGCGCTGTCAGATTTAGCAAACAAACTGTACTGAATATCCAGTTATTTTTCAGATGAACAGTGATTTTTAGTAGATGTGTGTCCTATGTGTATTCTATGGGCCTTGCATATTTTCTCTGGCAACACTACTAATATGGTATGTCCTGGGGATGGAAATTGTACTTTTTATTGAATATAATTTGTCATAACTGGAAAAAAATTCCATACAGTAGGCTGAACACAGGATGCCAGAGTCCTCTTAGTGAGGCTTTTGTTTCCAAGAGCTGCTTATTGGGGGGAGGAATACAAAACAGACAAAAATAGGACAAGGTTCTTAAAAATTTCGATGAGGTTCTTCTTCAGCTAGCAGCTAATTCTTAGGATTCTACATGAAAACAGTGTACTCTTGACAAGTAATGTGACTGCATGGGATAAATCCAGTGAGCAGATGTTTCCTGAATACTGCTGCGTGGAGGCTGGCGTAAATCACAGCGCAAGCATGCTCCTGACGTTCCTGCTTAGTGAACTGCAGCCGAAGTCTGGCCTCCTGTTCTAATGCAGGCAGCAGCTGAGGCAGAAAGGTGGCGGCCACTTATGCTTCAGTGGCCCTGAAATCCACTCACTTATAACATATACTTGCAATGCACAAACTCAAAGTGCTTTCTGCTTCCCACTCCTAGTTGTTGACCCAAGAAAATGGTGACATTAAGGAGGAGTGGGTCACCTTGCCATGGAGTCCACAGCTGGTGAAGCTCAAGACCAGCTCTTCCAGAGCTGGGTAATAGAGCAGAGTATGCTCCTCCTATGTGTCTATAGAAAACAGAGAAAGGAGTGGGTGTTTGGAGAATTCTTACTGCCTGACAGCTGATTTCTTAGCTTTAACAGAGTATGGTTTTAAAAATGCATAAGTTGGGCCCTCTCTGGTGGCACAGCAGGTTAAAGCATAGCACTAAGAATCTAAAGCCACTTCCGCATGAGTTCGATCCCCGCCCCGGAAGTGACCCACATGGCACTGCAGATCTCTCCTCACCCGTCCACTGTTCCCCTCAGCAGTGTACCTCATCAGGCGACTTGGTCTGCTCCCCATTCTGTCTTTGGTGAAGCCTCTCACTGCCCCTGCACCTCTGGCCTGTACCCCAGTTCTATATGCATAAATAAATAAATCTATTTTAAAAAATGCTTAAGTTAAAATTGACCATTTTAAGTCTACAGTTTAATAGTAGCAAATTCTCTCACTGGTCAACAACAGGGTTGCAGAACTTGCAAACCTGAAACTCTGTTCCCTGAACAACTTCCCTCCCCTGTTCCAAGCCCCTCACGGCCACCAGTCTACTTTCTGTCACTGTTAGCTTGACTACTTTGGAGACCTCAACTTCCTCCTATTTCCATGGGAAGCTAAAGTAGACACTGGTAGAGCTGAAGTTGCATACACAGAGTTATTTCTAAAGAGAAAGGACCAATGCTTTCACTCAGGTGTGAGAGATAGAGAAATAAAACAAAGCAGTTAATAGTAACTCTTAGATTCTGACAACATAATGGTGACCCCCCAGAGTGAGCTGGCCAGTAGAGGGGAGAAGTGGGGAGTAGCTCCAGACCTTTGGTAGTGGATTCCGTGTGGAATATACATGTACAGAGAGGTGTGCGGCCATAACCCACAACCTGCATAGTTTCATAAATCTACATGGTAAATCAGTAAAAAGTAAAAATAAATTCCAACAGTCACTCAGCTTTCCTCAAAAACTACAGAAGAGAGCGAGAAAGAGAACTGTGCACAGCTCCCTGGAGTTTCTAGACCAGCTCCGGGGCATCCGGTTGGTCTCTATCCTTGCTCATTGCCTTTCTGCTTCTTAACCTAGATGATGCCAGAGGGAGGCATCAAAAAAAAATCCGAAGCAAGACTCAAAATTACCTCAACATGTATGCGGTGGAGGGTCTGCGTACCTTGTGTATCGCCAAGAGGGTGAGTGGGTGTCGCCTCTGGGGCGTGGGGGCGGGGGAGTGCTGTCCACGGTGCAGCCCGCATGCAGAGCTCACCACTGTGTCTCTCGTAGGTTTTGAGCAAAGAAGAGTATGCCTACTGGCTGCAGAGCCATCTGGAAGCAGAGTCGTCCCTGGACAACCGCGAGGAGCTCCTCTTTCAGTCAGCCATTCGCCTGGAAACCAACCTGCAGCTGCTGGGTAAATATTAGGCTCTCGTGAGTGTGCTGCGTGGAGCAGGGTTGTTGGGAGACACAGGCAGCTTCTGCAGGAAGGTGCTTGCTGCAAACTCATTGCAGGAAGGGTAGCGTGCTGAGTTAGACCCCAAGCGCTGGAGCAGGAGCGGAGATTAGGAAGGTGACACAGGCACAGAAGGCTGGCCCTGCCCTCGGGCAACTCACCTCCCCTCTGTTGCTCTCCACACCTGTGCGGTGGGGCTATTTGCTGTGCTCACGTCCTAGGGATGCTGGGAAATGTTTTGCTTGGCTAATAGTAATCCATCAAGATAAATCATTAGAATGCTAATTACATAATCTTTGGGAGCCAACCAGGCCCTGGGAACTCACAGAAGCCATCATGGATGCTGGCCCAGCCCCCTCCCTCTTCCCCTGGAATGTCAGGGGAGATGTCACAGCAGAAGTGATAAAATGTTTAGGATGCGGTGAGAGATGTCAGCTCTGTTAGATGGCCAAGACAACAAAACAGAAGCTTGGGGCCAGAGCCAGAGGACTGGGCAAGGGGAGAACACCCTCTGGTGCCCAAGCTGAGGCTGGAGGACAACAGGGCTTCCCTCCTGAGCTGACCTGAAGCCCCACACCTCCGCCTGGCCCTTCCTGTGGGGCTTCCTGCTTTACAGCAGGGGGAAGCCTGGTGCGACATGTTCTCCTCCTTTCTGGTCCACTCCCAGGCTCCCACTTGTCCTCCAGGACATTCACCAGTTGGGAGGTAGGCCCGGATCCAACACACAGCACAGGTTTCATGAAATGAGAGCTGTCACTTGTCCATGAGGGAGGCCCTGGGGACAGGGTGATGTACTGGTTCCTGAGCTCAGGGCGGGGTGCACAGGTGTGTGATTTGTGAACATGTCTTGAAGGATACGTTTAACATATCCACCCTTTATACCTTCCTCCCCACACGGGCATCCTAGAAGTTGAACTGGGACCTATCTTAGTCATTTAAGGCTGCTCTAAGAAAATACCACAGACTTGTGGCTTCACCGACAGACATTTTTCTCACAGCTTGAGAGGCTGAAGTCTGAGATGAAGGTGTCACAAGCCTTGGTTCATGTGACACTCTCTCTTCCGGGTTTGCAGACCTTCTGTATCGATACGTGATAGAGAGGTCATCAATCTGTGTCTCCTCTCAGAAGATGCCAGTTCCACAACAAGGACTCCACCCCCCTGAAATAATGATCTCCCAAAGGACCCTCATCTAATATTATTGCCCTGGGATTGGGGTTTCAATATAGGATTTGAGAGTAGGGCGTATAACAGAGGCCTAAGCAATGAGAGGTGGCATCAATAAGGAGAGAACATTAAGAACAGGAAAAAACTGATGCTCACCTGGCGACTACATGTCCGCATTGAGCATTACATTTTCCTCACTATACTAAGATTTATAAGAGAAAAGCCACCCCTTATTCATTATGTCTGTGGGAAACTATTTTCAGGGTAATGTTTTCTTGAAATGAGAGCCTGTCTCATCCGTTTGGACAGCAAACAGTGAGCCCTGTTGAGAGTAAATATTTTATTTGACACTCACCGGGAACTCTATGGATGGATGGTTTTAAGACCTTTTCATCCCTCAGAATGTGGTCATTCCCACCTCCTTACAAGCTTGTTACAAGTTTTCCAAGAAGTTATGTTAGCTGTGTGTTCCTCAGAAGAATTTGAAATGCTTGTTGTTGGCATAAAAGACTATGTTTGCTGACTCCAAGTTACCCCTATTCTGTGCTCATGTGCTGAGTCTAGAGAGCTATTGAACGCATCCTTCCTGTTCAGAAATGGGACAGACCCAAGCAGCAGGTAGATCCCAGGCCATGTCGGTACCTGTCTGCGGTGTGTTGGGGTGTGGGGGCGGGTGAGGAAGGGGCTCACCAGCTGCTATTCATTTGACCAGGCGCCACAGGCATTGAAGACCGCTTGCAGGACGGAGTCCCTGAAACCATTGCTAAGTTGCGCCAAGCAGGCCTGCAGATCTGGGTTCTCACAGGTGACAAGCAGGAAACAGCCCTTAATATCGCCTATGCCTGCAAGCTGCTGGACCACGAGGATGAAGTCATCACTCTGAATGCCGAATCCCAGGTAGGCAGGCTTCAATGAGGCCTTGCTCGTCTACCAGGGACAGGCCCACGCCAGGTCTGTTTCTAAATTGTATGTTGTATGTGTCTATCTCTTCACCAAGACCTTGCTATCTTGATTATTATGGTTTTATTTGTATGTATTCAAGTTAGTGGTGCTTTCTTGAAATTCCAAGTGTTTGTAAATTTTCCTGTTGCCTTTCTATGACTTTTTTCTGGTATAGTTATGGTCATAGGATATGCCATAACTTTTTATGATATCAGTTATTTTAAAATTGTCTAAGCTTTATAACAACTCGGAGTTGTAGTCTATCTGGGTGAACATTTCATTGAATAAGACGTGTATTCAGTTGTGTTCCTGATCAATTTGATCCCATCGGTAGATGGATTCTTATATGATGGGGGTCAGCAAACTGTAGCCCCTGACCCCAGTTGAACCCATCATCTATTTCTATATTAAAGTTTTACTCAAACACACCCTCGCCCATGTTTTTCGCTAAGTCTTTGGCTCTTCTCACGCTATAAAGGCAGGTTGAGTTGGAGAGGAACACAATCCATCCCAACTTCAGCCCTGTAGGCTGGGCGGTAGAGTTTACAGAAGCCCATGCTTTTCTGTGTGGAGAATCATGCTTTTTATCTTAGCTCCTGGAGTTAAGGAGGAGCCCTATATCCCCCCCCAAAAAAAAAATAAGCAGAAGGCTGTAAATCAGAGACATTTTGCAGAGAAAGGGGGGAGGGAGAAGATAGAAACACAGGTAGGAAGAAGATAAGGGACTGAAATGATGGTGCACGAGTGCATGAATCGGTGGTGGAAATGCTCTGGAGACTACATCTGATCTAAAACATAGGTAAATAAAGAAAGTATATTAAAAAAAGGAGAAGGAGGAGGAGGAGGAACCCTTCTGAGCAGAGCCTGCAGCCTGGTGCCCCAGAGCCTGTCAGTCCCAGATGAGGTAAGGAGGGGTGTCTGGCCTGTAGTGGGGCCAAGTCAACCACAGCATCACCCCTGTTCCCTCCAGGAGGCATGTGCGGCCCTGCTGGACCAGTGCCTACATTACGTGCAGTCCAGAAACCACCACGCCCTCGAGAAGACCACCGGAAATGTGAGCGTGGGCTTCTCCCCAGTCTGTCCAAATGCTGCCTCTGCGTCCTCTGGCCCCAGCCCCAGCCTTGTGATTGATGGAAGAAGTCTGGCCTACGCTCTTGAGAAAAACCTGGAGGACAAATTTCTCTTCTTGGCCAAGCAGTGCCGGTCAGTCCTTTGCTGCCGCTCGACACCCTTACAGAAGAGCATGGTGGTGAAACTGGTCCGGAGCAAGCTCAAGGCCATGACCTTGGCCATAGGCAAGTATCCAGTCCACTCCCCACCCCAGCCCCCAGCAGCCTTTTATAAATGAGAAACCCCCTCAGCTCCACACATGCTGAGTTTCCAATCCTTCCCATGCAACAGCGTAAAAAGGGAAATCTTTCCTTCACTCTGTCTACTTAAATAAATAAATAATTTGAAAACACCACATGCTATAAAACTGCCTGTTCCAAATATAAAGCTTAGACCTGAAAGCCAAAAGTTATAGTAGCAACACTTAGAGCTACTTATTAGGAGACCAATAATACCATTTGGGTTTAAAATATAGCTTACATTATTTCCCGAGGAAAGTAGACTACCCAGGCAGTTATAGCCACAGCAAGGAGATCCTGCACACCCAGCATTAGCCAGGGCCACCTGAGGACAAAGGTCCTTGGCAGGTGCCTCTGGTAATTGTGAGCCTCCTGGGGGAGAGGTGTAAACAATGCCCCAGGAACCTAGAAACTCGGTGGTGATCAGAAGTCCCATTGCCTTTTGTCAGCTGAACTCTACAAATTGTTGCAAGGACCTAATTGAATCCTCTTGAAATATGAATAGTTGCTAAATGCTACATCATTTCCTTAAGGACAGTGTGTCTAATGGTCTAATTTTCCTTGGGAATTGACAGCCTGGAGTGCCTTCTCTGCTCCTCCTGTGCCTCTTGGCACTCATTTGTCATCCCCACCCACCTCCGTTCTGGTCCATTCTCCAACCAGGTCAGGGTCTCATCAGTGCCACCTGCCGGTGAGGGGCAGAAACAACTGCAATATAGTCTTGGCAAAGGATCCTGGTGATCACTAGATATCAAGCAGTTGGGTCTACCGGCATATAGAATCCATATGAGGTGAGATTTGGCTCTGAAATAAAGTATTCTCACCAAGAAATAATAATTACAGCCTTTTCTGCCCAAGGTCTGACAGCCCCTCCTTGATACAGGCATCAAGGCTCAGGTGCAAGTGGATACAGCATGTACCTGAGCCCAGGTGGGGGCCTTAATGTGGTGGTTGTAGAGGTGGTCCTGCACATCCTCGGGGTCCTGGTAACTGGGAAGGGGAGTGAGATGGACACAGATGTGAGCAAACGAGTGTTCAGCAGGACCCCCTAGTGCAGGCTGAGGAAGGGAAGGCATCTCCTCTCGGGATGGGAGTTCCTCTTGACTATGTGGGTGGCCACTGCTGCCACTGCCTGTAGTGGCCTGCAGTCATCCCTGAGAAAGTGTTGGAGAAGGAGCTGAGGTGTCTGCACCCCCAGTCCTACTCTTACTCCTCTGAGCTCCTGTCCTCAATGGTAATATGAAGACAGTGCCCCCCGCAAGAATTGAATAGATCATGAATAATAAACCACATTTTCACAGTGCAAAATCGACGCCAGACTCAGCCACTGAACTGCTGATGTGTGGTATTCACTTAAGAGACTGGAAATAAAGCCACCATTGGTTAGAAAGAAATGAACAAAACAAAATAGAATCTCAAAAAGGGAAAGAAAAAGTAATGACCCACCAGAATTTTAGCTCATCTCTTTGACCATGAATTAAAATAGTGATTTGACCTAGTCCTGGGTGTATAATACAGAGAACACTATTGCATACTGTATTTCATTTTGAATGGAACATTCTGGGAAAAGCTGCAGAGATTGCTATTATTTCATAGAACTTCAACTCAATGGATATTGACAGATCACTCGTGGTTGGCTCAGGACAGTCAAGAGGAAACTACTCACAGGGGAGACAGCACACAGTCACATCACATTCATACACTCCCAGGCCTCTCTGTAGGTCTGCACTTTGGCAGCCTGGGATGTACTGCAAGATTTTGGCTGTTCTGCTGCCTGGTTCTGAGAATGTCACCATCACTGAGTGATAGTGACTTTAAGTCTTGTCTGTCCCCAAAGGCATCAGGAACTGCAACCTGGGTTCCTATACATTTCATCACACCAGCCCCTCAGAGAGCCCAAAGGTGAACATAATAGCTAACATACAGCTAGCTGGTCATCCAAGTGCAAAAAGACCTCAACCGTTTGCTGTGTGGTTTAGTTTAGAAATAACAGCTCAATGCGTATGAATTGAAATAGACTTGCCTGGAATGCTATAAATGTAGTAGACAACTGGAGTAATTCAATAAATAGCAGGATGATAATGATAGCATCTCTGGCAGATACCGAGTTGGGGGCTCTATTCACTCAGAAGGGTAGCTTGGTGCTGGCTGCTCTCCAGAGCATCTCTAGGTGTGAGTTCTAAACCTCGCACCAAGCGTATCCCGATGGCTGACCTCAGCTCCCGCAGGGAGGACGCTGCACTCCCGGTCCCTCCTCCCCATGATCCTTCCACAGGACTCAGTCCAGTGGGGACTCCATGAAGAGCCCTCCGGCCAGTTTGATTCTGTGCATCTCAACTCAAAGACTCTTCCTGTCTGTGCTGTTTCTAGGAGACGGAGCCAATGATGTCAGCATGATCCAGGTGGCAGATGTTGGTGTGGGCATCTCAGGCCAAGAGGGCATGCAGGTAAAGACTCATCATTGCTGTCCTGTGTGACCACGGATTCCCCCCCCCCCCGACTCCTGTTCCTTCAGACCTCCCTGTGAGCTCTGTCCCAAAAGGCATAAGAAGCTGTCTTTGATACAACTTGTTTGCCTTCTGCTAAGCCAGTAGTTGAAGACAAAAAGCGGAAGGTTCCACTTCATATTTGTGAAGACACATATCTACCTGTACTACAATTTGTTTTGTGAAATCAGTAGAGCAGAGAGAGTCAGGGCGAGTCATCAGAACCTTCTCTCTTGTCATTTATGGCTCATCCTTGGAAGGCACTTTTTGCTATTCTGAACACTAATGACACCATTTGAAAACCTGCCTTCATGGTTGTACTGTTGGAAACTATATCACTATGAAAAGGGAATAGTGTCACATGAAAATTCATCTCTGCATTTTCCATTTGTCACTCTGTTAGTTCTCAGTATGTGATCCTGAGTCACTGAAGAAATGAGTTCACTGAAAATAATTTCTTTTGGAAATAGTATTGCAATATTTCCAACATTTGATTAACTTTGATAGGGACATATTTTAACTTGGTAGAGACTTTGAGGAACAGTCAACCCAGTGTTCTTCTTTTGAAAATCAGGGTGCGGAACAGCATGTAGTCATGGGTTGGTTCATCCAAACAGTGGTCTTTTATTGAGCATTTATATGTGCCAGGCTTCTGGAGAAGACTGAGCTACTACCACTCCCAAGAACATCTATAATTTGGGCAATGGGAAAGGCCAACTTATAAGGCACATGTGAAGACACAGCTTTGAGCAGGTCAGATGTTGCTGGATGCTTCTGTATATATCTACAGTCACATTACAGATTGAGGACACATGGAAGATGGAGATAAGATTTGATCCAATTTCTTACTGTTCTGAGTGCTCAGGTTATCCAGGTGGATGTTTCCATTTGCATTTTTGGTCAGTTCAGTACACAAAGAGACACTGTGGTGAGGCCATGGAGAAGCCTCTGCGCAGGATGTTCTGACAGCAGGGAAAGGAGGAATCCAAACTGAGTCACTATTGATCATTGAGCATGCTTGGAGCTCTCCAGATCATCCAAGTTGGGAAGGCTGTTCCTGGCAGGGAACTAGAGGAGGCAACTGAGATTCTGAGTGTACCGAGAAGCTTGATCTTGGAGAAGTCAGCTGGTCTACCATGTTTATCCGGCAGCCCCATGGCCAAGAATGATGGAGACCCTGTTGCACAGGGTCATCATGACATCTTCTGTTCAGGGAATTCAGGAAGGTGTGTGTTTTAAACGTATACAATTAATCATAATTGCTGTGTGTGCTATGGAAGAGAAAAATAGCTTCTCTGCTGAGTTTTTCCCAGGATGATCCAACCTAGATGAAGAGTTTGGGTAGGCCACCTTCTCAGAGGGACTGTAGTAGGCTCAGGTCCCAGATTTTGAAGGAGAAAAGAGTGGAAAGGAGAGGCTGGAAAAATAGGTAGAAGCTTTCAAGGACTACGGCAAAAAAACAGAAGTTAAGTCATCTCATTAACTTCTTAACAACCTCACTTTAAGTTTTCAGACTGTTGAAGACAGGGACAAGGTCTGACAGTATTGTGTCTCCAAGGCTGTGTCTGGCACTGGAAGGGGATTAATAACTGATATTTGAGAGGCTGAATAATGGAGTACAATCAGAGGATATTGAAGAGCACACAAAGCTTTTAAAACCCCTATAAGATGGAAGGGAGAGGTAGAAGGAGCAGTATTTGCTTTGAAACCCTTAACGATTTTGGTTCAGAAAATAGACATGCTGAAATCTGACTTTTCTGTCATCTATAGTGATGTTATTTTGTTGCACAGAAAGGACACCAACAGGTATGTGATCCCTTTTCTAGGCGTCATTGAAATATAGGGAAATCAGTTCAGTTTTAAAAGCAGACTTAGGTTTGTTTTATGTGGACTAGTCTTCGGAAGATGTCTTTTAATGAAATTTTCTTTTTTTGCCACATAGAGAAATTCACTATGTGGTGGATTCAAGTTTTTCTGGGCAAAAAAAGAATCATTTTGATGACATTTGTCCAGCTCACTCGACTGTGTAGAGCAAGATGCTTAATGAAGCAAAGGCAGCCCCGCTGTGTCATCTCCCTGTCCAGCAGGAGACTTGCTGTCCTTACTCCCTGCGCTCAGCGTCGAGTGCCCTGCAGTGGGCATCCTGAGACTGGGTGTTGGTGGAGCCATGGGCTTACACTTGCTCAGCACCCACAGTTCCTGAGAGGAGAGTGATCCAAAGCATGCCCCCCAAGGGGACTGACCAACTGCTTCTGATGCATAGGAAAGGGGCCGCTTTGGTTGATGTTTGGGTTGAAATTTAACTCAGATGCAGAGGGTGGAGGAGAGCGGGAAAGTGCCATACAGACCCTTACTAAGGAAGAGGGGGTCTTCAAAAGTAGCATGGACATGGAAAAGCCAACTTTTTACATCAGTGATATCTATAGGACCCTTTGAGAGCCTATAGATACGCTTGAACTAGAGCGTTTGTTAACACTGATTTTTTTTTTAATTGAAGATGATACTAGCTCATGCCATATTTGAAATTGGACTTCTCTCCCATGTTTTGCCTGGTGTTTGAGAGCAGTAAGACCGACTTCAGGCAGAGGGGGGGGGACGTCAGTAACCGAAACTCCTCTCCCTTTCAAGGCAGTGATGGCCAGCGACTTCGCACTGCCGAGATTCCGATACCTCGAGCGTCTCCTAATCGTTCATGGACATTGGTGCTATTCCCGACTTGCCAACATGGTGCTGTACTTCTTCTACAAAAACACAGTAGGTATTGGATGCTGGCCCCCCTCTCTCTAGTTTTGAATTAAAAGGTCTGACCTGACGTAAGTAGAGCCAATGGCCCGAATGCAGCCAGAGAGCCACCGCACGGCTTCACGTGGACTCCGTCCTCCTGGACTTCTGTAAGTCCTCCACAGGCCTGACCTGGCTCCATGCTCTGCAGACATAGGGGTCTAATCCATGGGCACATGGCACATGAGAGCAACTGAGCCCCTGAGGAGAGAAGGTTATAGAAACAGGTAGAACAAAGAAGAATATCCACTTAGAGCTTCATAGTGAGAAGCAGAGTAAATATGTGGGTCCAGTAGTTGGCATAAGTGCACACAGCTAGTGAGCTAGTGTCACAGCTAGTGTCACATTCAGCTGGGTCTGACTCCAGCTCCCAGATCCTTAACTTCTGTGTTAATGTGCTGCTCAGTAGCAGAGACCAACAGGAGCCCTCTTCTCAGGGCTTTCTCTAGGGCAGGTGAAGAGACCAAATAACAAGGAGGAGTATATTGACACATCTCAAATCAGAAGGAGAGGACTTTTTCACACACCCAGGCAGGGAAATCTCCAAGTCAGGATGTTCACTCTGGCAATGCAGGGAGGGGTCTCCTGCACTGTCTCCTGGGAATACAGAGCCGTTGTGCCGCTCCTGGACAGTTCAGACTTTAGAGGGTCCTATGGTGAGGTCGTGCCCAGGTCTCTCCCTCTCCAGGGCCTCCCTCAGGATCTGCATCCATTCCTGCAGACTCAAACTCTTAATTGCTTCAGTAGTAAGACCTTGGCAGACAGGCGTCTTTCTCCATAGTCTTCCCGGATAGACTTCGTGGCCATTCAGAACCCTGCCCACTCGTAAGTAGGTATGGAAATTGTGCTGAGAAATTGCCAGGTGGTTATTTGTCATTTTTGCTTCTGACCACTTGTGGTTGAATACACATCAAAGACGCCACATGACTAAACTCTTGGGATAAGAGTCCCAGGGTAACCCATTAATCTATCATGCTGGATACTGTATCTCAATGTCAAGATCGCCCCGTATTCTTCTGAACACAAATAAAGTAAAACAAAAGGTGAATTTTCTTTTAAGTTTTTTTCTAATTTCATGACAAATGCACTTTGCATGTAAAAATAAACTATTACATTATTTTTTAAAATGCACTTTGCTAACTTAGAGCTATTATCAGCGCACCTCCTGTTCGTGTTCTCTATTGTTCTGGAGGCTTAATCCTACCTTCCTTTTCCCGTCCTCTCCCGCCCCCTTACTCTCATCCATTTCTTGAAATGTCTTCTAGCAAACGAATACAGATACTCAGGACCAACCAGGGCATGTCTAATTTGATCAGTTAGATCCTGGAAATTAATTCCAATTAGCTTCTGCCTGGGACTGTAGCCAAGGGAGGGTTCAGTGCTGCCCTGCCCTCACCCGCTCACTCTCGCCTCCTCCCACCTGGCCTTGAGTGCCCATCCCTGAGGCCTTACAGACCTAGAGGTTCCCCAAGGGGTGAACTGCTGTTTTTTTCTCTTCGTGTCTTTTCTTTCTCTTTCTTTTTCTTTTTTTTTTTTACATCATTCTTCATTTTGCGCACTTTTTCATCTCAGTTGTAATCCCGTTGGATTTCCCACCACCACTTCACCCATGCGCCGTCGCCATAGTCCCGTGCGCTCTTCCCGCCCCGGTTTATGTCCTATTCCCCTCTCCACCCCTGTAGAATGGCTCTGGTTTATAGTTGTTTGTTGATTTTCATTTTTACTTTATTACAATTGCCTTTTTTAAAAAAGATTTTATTTATTTTTTCATATAGAACTGGGGTACAGGCCAGAGATGCGGAGGGTTAGAGGATTCACCAGAGTGGGGAGCAGAACAGGCAGGTCGACGACGTACACTGCTGAGCAGCAGGCGGGTCAGGAAGGTCTGCCTCGCCATGTGGACTCCTCCAAGGCAGGCGGGAATCGAACTCATGAGGAAGTGGCTTAAGCTTCTGAGTGCAGTGCTTTAACCCGCTGCGCCACCAGGGAGGGCAAAAATTGCTTTTTTTTTTCCAAGTAATGGGGCTGGGCAAGGTGGAATCTCAGCCCATTTCTGGCTTGCACCAGCTGAGCAGTCCTAGGCAACTGATTTGCCTTGTATGGATTTGGTTTTCTTTATCTGAATGAAAAACATGGTAACTGATCCGGTCTTCTGTAATTCTTCGTTAAAATTGCTCAGCCCCCTTCCTACCATGATGAATCTGCCCTCTTGGAGGGGACAGAAAGGAAAAGGGGGTACCTGTTTTCTATTCCACATAGAACTCAGAGCCTCTGTTAACAAGCTCTTGATCTACTTGAGAAGTTCAAGGATAATCACTCTACTTCCCAAAGTGAGAAATTCATTAGTTTCAGGAATAAGTTGGCCTTCCTTTCCAATAAAGAGCAGAGCAGAAAAGTTACCATAGCAACAGTAGTTTGAGAAGAAGTCTTTTTGGTACTATGAGAAAAAAAAAATCTCAATTATCGAAGTACTTTTCTTCTACTTTCTCTTGACTCCACCTGCTTACCAGTGACTCATTAGGCTGGGCCTGTGGGGATGGTGAGAGAAAGTCAGCGTGGGAGTGAGACAGGGAAAAAAAGTCAATGAAAACTCCAAATTTGTCAGTTTTCAGTGTGGAGGGGGAAAAATCACATTCAATCATGGTTTCCAGCATGCCCTGGATGCTGTGTGTCCTTAGGGATTACATATACGTACCTGTCATTTCTTTAGATCTTCAGAACAAGCCATTTCAGGCCAAGACACTGAAACTCAGAGAAGTTTTAGTAACTGAGTCAGGTCAGAAAGGTGCACAATGGTAGCTCCAGAGCCCAGATCCTGGCCATTCTCCATGATACCAGAAAGGAATGTTCTTCCACCATGTTCCCTCTTGCAAATGTCCTTCCCCGCTGACCCCAGACCCACATCAGCTTCAGTAAGTCGGGTTTATTACTCAGACCATGACCATATGTAGTCATTTAATGTCTTGGGGATCAATTTCCTTTTCATTTAACTTGAAGCCACGAAGGAAATAACATTGTTCCTCACAGCCAGGAGCTGTAGGTGAGCATCTGAGCATCTAAGGATCTCTTGGGAGCACTGAGATGTGTTAGCTCATTTAATTCTCATGACAAGCTTGCGGCTAAGTGTCACAGGTATACCCATTTCATAGACAAGGAAGCTGAGGCCGAGAATTGCTAAATGACCTCTGCTAAGTCACACTGCTAATAAGTATCATAATGATTACAGCTGATCAGCCACCATGCCGTCCATTATAAATGCACTCAGGACTCCATATTCAGTGATCTAGGGATACTAGGCGGGGAGAGCAACATCATCTCCTCCTCTTACTGGACACTGGAGGGGGCTGTTCAACCTCCCATAGCCTCGCCTTTCTGTTCTGTTACATGAAGTAGCTGTAAGAACCAGTGATGATGTCTACAACTCGAGTGTCAGTCAAAGTAGTGATACCGGTCTTGCCATGCTTGTGATCCTTCCTGCCCAGTGGGAGTCAGTAATTGTCCACTGTTCCTCATCAAAAAGAGCACATAATTGAAGAGAGTTGTGGGACCCAGAACGTAGCAACAGGTCTGTCTGGTTTAGGGTCACAGAGGAGGGATACAAGGGAAGAAGTTCTGACAGGTGACAGACTCAGCTGTCCCAGACCTCCCTGTTAGACCTGTACTTTGCTTTTCACTAACAATATGTGGCTTTTCAGGCTCAAGATCTCACCCTTCCAAAGGCTGCTTTTGGGACCTGTTCCCACTTCTGGTCCTTAATATTCCAGGGGACAGAGCAGATGCAGGAAAAGAGAAAGCAAGACAGGTGGAAACAAGGTTCAAACTCCTTGAAAGAGTTTGCTGCCTATAAATTCAGTCTTGACAGAAAATGCTCAAATCCTTTAGATGACTTGGTTGAGAATCTGTCAATACAACTAACACATTTTTTAAAATATTTATTAATTTATGCATAGAAGGTCAGAGGTGTAGGTCAGAGGTGCAGTGGAGTGTGAGAGGATTCACCAGACAGAGTGGGGAGCAGACAGGCAGACTGACTGAAATACACTGCTGAGGGGAGCAGAGGGGAGACAGGAGAAGTCTGCTCACCGTGTGGGTCAGCATCCTGGCCAGGGATGGAACTTGTGCTGCAGTGACTGACGATGGCTTGATAGCTCTGTCTTTAACCCCTGTGTCACCAGGGAGGCCCACAACTAAAACATTTTTTTAATTGCCATTCTCCCTTTCCTGATTTCAGATGTTCGTGGGTCTCTTGTTTTGGTTCCAGTTCTTCTGTGGCTTCTCTGCATCCGCCATGATTGACCAGTGGTATCTGATCTTCTTTAACCTGTTCTTCTCATCGCTTCCCCAGCTTGTGACTGGGGTGCTGGACAAGGATGTACCAGCCAATGTGCTTTTGACCAAGCCTCACCTCTACAAGAGTGGCCAGAACATGCAGGTGAGTGTCCCTTTTAGCCCCCACCTCCTATCCTCTGATACCCCATCATCCACATTCACGTTCCAGAAAGTGCAAATCTTCACATCTCCTTTCAAGGGACACCCTGGGACAAATTGCTGAAATTCTAGAATCTGATCACTGAGAGAAAAAAATGAATTGTGTCTATGTGACTGTGTGTAGCACATTAAGTAGACTAAAGTCATTGCTTGTAGTGATGGCGTCACAGGTATATGCATACATCACACCCATCAACACATATGCCTTAAAAGCTTGCATTGTTTGGTATATCAATTCTACCTCAATAAAAGGGAGATAGAGTATTAGTACAGTGAAGTGAAAACTGTCTCTTCAGCAAGAGTCTCCAGGAAAGTCTGCCTGTAATCTAAGTCTGAGTTACAAGGGATCACTGCTATCCAAGGACAGCACTTTTCCAATCTCCCCAAAACGTGACTTACTTGGAATGGGAGTAAACAAGAAGACCAACCCATAGGAAAACCTTTGAAAAAACAAGGGAATACAAACAGATGTAAATATATGTTTGTATCAACCAACCACATAGATTGGCAAGCTAATTACTAGCTATTCCCAGCCAGTCATTCGAATAAACCGTCAGTGCTTCTCTTGTGCTACTTGAATGACCATGTGTGCGCCTTTCATGGCACAAAGGCTCTGGGTGAGTCCCCTAGCTACGGGCCTTGGTGTACTCTCTTCTCTTGACCCTCCCTGTTTCTCCCAAAGTCCTAAATGATCAAGTGCTCTCAGGTGTTGCCACACCCTGTAGCAGCCTGGAAAGCAGCCTGAGTGCTGAGCTCTGCACTCAGCATGACCCCCATGCGTATGTTTGTGACCTAGGAATATCGACCACTCACCTTCTGGTTGAACATGGCTGACGCTGCATTCCAGAGCCTGGTTTGCTTTTTCATCCCTTACCTGGTAAGTTGGCGCCTGGCACAGCCCCCCCTGTTGGCATGGCTCCCCCTAAGGCATCCTCAGACATCGGACCCTGCTGTCTTGCAGGCCTACTACGACTCGGACACCGACATGTTTACCTGGGGAACGCCCATCACTGCCATTGCACTCTTCACCATCCTGCTGCACCTTGGTATTGAAACCAAGACCTGGGTAAGAGTCTGGTGCGGTTGAGAAGGTGCCGATGCCATGGTACAGTCCATGAGCTCTAGAAGATCTAGAGGAGCCGGGGGTGGGGGGTGCTGCAAAGCTGGCTTCACTGTGATGAGGAGGACAGTGCTCATGGCCGTCCACCAGACGAGAGCCCTGGTGCGGGCAGCTGCCACAGCCCCTTTCCCCTCCTCCTCTGCTTCATGCCCCCCCCCCTCACTCTTTCATTCCCCTGACCCCCCTCTCCCAGCCAGGCTACATCACGGATGCTTCACCAGCTCCTGCCCCCAGCCACCTTGCACTGGTCCTCAGGACATCACATCTGTTCCCGGACCCCAGCGCGTTTTTGCTCTTGTTATTACTTTGACGTTGAAATAAGTGCCCTTTCTTGCTCTCTCCCCCTCAGACCTGGCTCAACTGGATAACCTGTGGCTTCAGTATCCTTTTATTTTTCACTGTGGCTTTGATTTACAACGCTTCTTGTGCAACGTGCTACCCACCGTCCAACCCTTACTGGACTGTGCAAACGTTAATGGGCGACCCCGTGTTTTACTTGACTTGTCTCATAGCACCTGTCGCCGCGCTGCTGCCCAGGTGGGTATCTGGGTATCAAGTGCCCTGAGGTATCTGGGACCAAGAGCCCGAAGTCCCAAGCGAACCCTGAGGGCGCTGTCATCACCACGCAAGCCTCAGAAAGCGTAGAGCCAAGTACTGCCCCCAGCCAGAGCTGACTGTTTTCTCTCTGCTCTTTCCAGGTTGTTTTTCAAAGCACTGCAGGGGAGCCTTTTCCCCACCCCACTGCAGCTGGGGCGCCAGTTGGCCAAGAAGTCCCTTGAAAAACTTAACACTGCCAAAGAGACCTTTGCTCAGGGACGCCTTCCGGGAGATCAAAGAACGGAGCCCCCAGAACACAGCAGTGAATCGAACTTGGGGTCCATCTCCCAGGACTGCAACTTGAAGGCATCATGGCACACACAGCCAGCCTGCTCCCCAGAGGCCAGTGGGGAGCCCAGCGCAGTGGACATGAGCGTGCCTTTGAGAGAGGACACCCCGCTGGAGGAACTGGGTGACCAGGCCCCGGGCTCCTCCACACCACAAAAGGTGATTCTAGAAGAGTGCCCTGGGAACCCCAAGATGAAGCCCACCAGTGCCAACAGGACAGCCCCCCTATCATCCATCTTCAACCTGCCCCACTTCAGCTCACTTAACTGGATTCCCTCCCTCTCCCTCGTCAGTGATCTGGGAAGTGTCTTACAGCTCTCCCAAAGTAGTTTACAGACAGACAAGCAGGATAGTGAGTTCCTGCCCAGCCCCCCTCTGCCAGACCAGGACATGCGTGGCTTCACGGGGCAGACCACGGACTACTTCTAGAAGCAACTTCCAGAGACAGCAGCTGGTGGTGGCAGTGGTGGAAACCTTGAAATAGCCTTTTTTTTTTTATAACATAGATGTTAATATTATTTATGTTTATTATTTGCACAGAAGAGTTCTAGTGAGATGTATTTTATGTTTCCAAGGTTAATACAGGAAACGAAAGGTACCAAAAAAGAAAGTTTATTTTTGAAAATTTCTAAGTAGAGTATATTGAAAAGAAAAATAAGAGCTTTAACATATATAAAAGTTTAAGGGGAAAAAAAATGACACCAGGAAAGTGTGTTTAAATTTATTTTTTCATCTCATTTTATAAGAAAATGCAGTATAATTGGTTTGCCTCAACAGGAATGACCTTTGCTCTCCCCTAGGGTGAATGTCTCTATGGACCAGTTGGCCTTGAGGGTGCACTGGCCCAGGTGGGGGGCGGGGGGGGGTCAGGGGAGGACTCTGTGACTCCCAGAGCAGGGAGAGTGAAACCACCTCCAGAAAGCCCCCCCCCAGAGGGCCAGTCCCACCTTCAGTCCTAGCAGCCATCTGCAGGGGTCACCTTGTCCATATTCCAGGCTCTGTGGGGGGACCGTGCCTGTCGAAACCAAAACAAGCAATAAACAATCTTCATTCACCTTGCAACGAGAGCGTGTCTGCTGCCACTTTGTGTGAAGTTACTCTCATGTGACGAAAGCAGGTCTTGAGAGCTTCGGGGTGAGTCCCTCGACACGGGTGAAGGAAAGCATGGTGGCTGCAGGCACACCTGTGATACTGGGCCCCTGCTCCCTCAGCAACCCCGGTGCCCCACAGGAGCCTAGAGTTTTTAAGGGAGTGTCTTAGGGTATTTGTGTCTTCTGTCCCCTCAAACAGGAAAAGCAGGAAATGCAATAGAAATCCAAGGCATTTCCTCCTCTGAGTCTTCTTTTTGCTCCTCATCGAGTCGGCGAGGAAAAGCAGAACTCAGTTTCCACAAGGGAAGACAGGGGTGAAGTTTCTGGGCAGTTGAACCCAGCAACTCAAGATTTAGAGTGGGGGGCTTTTCCCGGGGCGCAGTTCGTTCTCGAGGCTGGCTATGCTCTTGGTCCCCCGGACACTGCCCCTTGTGCTATCCCGAGGGGAGAGGTGCGCTCTTTGCAGCACCAGCTGACTGGTCTGCTCAGCTCCTGCAGTGCGAGCTGTACGACATCCTCGCAGCAGCTGCCGCCAGAGATGCGCGGATGTCCTGCGGGGATGTCCAGGATGAGAGGGAGGCCAGCCTGTGAGCCCTGGCTGCAGGAGTGGACCTTCAGGGCGGAGCAGGGCCCCATTTAAAGGGAGGGGACATGGGGGTTTAAGTAGCCAGCAGTGTCCAGGACAGCATCTCAATTCTGCCCGGCCATTTTGAGGCGGCTTTTTCTGTTCTTGGAACTGCAAGAAGGAGAATTTCCCTGAGAAGAGGACACCGCTGCGGTTTCTGGGACTAAGGGAACCGTCGTCAGCACAGACTCTGGGAAGAAGCCCCGACACAGGCTTACCTGAGTAACTGAAAGTTCAAAATGCCCCCACGCTCATAACCTCCCGTCTGAAGGGCACCTTTCCTCTAGAGATACGGCCTCTTGGGAAATGGTGGGACTCAGAAAGTAGCCTCCAGAATATGCAGGCCAGGTCACCTCAGAGGAAGACACAGCGTGATGCAACAGTACTTTTGTCTCTTCCTGGCTTCCATTTTGCACAGGAGTTCAGGCTCTTTGGTAAAAACCCCACTCCTGGCTCTTTCAGTGAACAGCAATTTCTCTGAAAAACATAGGGGAGTCGGGGTCCCCTATCAAGGACAACATTGAGCCTCTGTGCAGCCCAGCAGGGAGCCCAGTGAGCCCCCTCTTTCCCTCCTCCTCTGCTGATGCCCTGAGGCTCATGTCCATGGGCACTAACTCAGCACCTTCAGCAGAGAATGTGAGGGGCACGGAATTCTTCTCATCACTCTCATCCACTGAGAGTGGCCACCCTTGGGCACGTGGCCACCCACAGGGCACGTGCCCCCCAGACCCCGCCTTGCATTACACTTCCCAGAGCAAAAACCAAACAACAGCGCAGCTGGAGCCGTGAAATGCCAGGCAGTGGGCAGCCCACCCACTGCCTCTCCCTCCCGCCGCACCTGTGAATGCAGGTGACCCCAGACGGACGGCACCAATCACAGGGAGCAGCCAAGCTCCAGAAGGGACTGAAGAGCCCCACAGACACGGCACATCTCACATGAAGACACAGACAAACTGCCGCCCACCTCCCTTCTCTAAATACGAGGAAGAGCGATCTCAATATTTTAAGCCTTTACTATTTTTAAGACTTTTAAATGTAGCGACCTCAAAAGGGAGCCAGAGCTCACAAGGGAGGGTGAGCCAGCCCTTCTCTGGGCAGCAGTCGGAATGGGCAGAGGCGCCCTGAAGTTAAACTTGGTTGCGGAGTTGCCGCTGACACTGTCCTGCTGGGGGTCCTGCTTGCGCGTGGCCCTCCAGGTCCCTCCTCCGCTCTTGCGTCCATTTCCCACCGAGGAGCCCCTGTTAAAATGGGCCTCCAGGTCAGCCCCCTGCCGCTGCCCAGAGCCTCAGCGGGCAGGGCGGCCTCCGTCTGTGCCACCCTCCTGATTTCCCACCAGGTCCGGCTCGGCCCAAGGGTCCTTCTCAGGGCTGATGGCTGGGGGTGGTGGCCCACCCCAAGCCCACCAAAACCAGGTGGGGCTCTGGGTGTGAGCTTTGTATTCTGCTAACTGGGTCCTGCGGATTCTCCTCCTGTCCTCCCTCCCCCTGGTGTGACGCTTGGGGTCTGTGGTCCTACACCTGTGGCTGCGGCCTGACTCTTACACCTGTTATCCCCCTGCTTGAAGCGCCCAACCATGTTGCCGTCCCCCCAGGGCCCTATTTCTCTATGATTCCATGTGTATGAGGCACCTCCAGTGGTCATGTTCATAGAGACCGAAAATGGGTGGTGGCTGCCAGAAGCTTGGGGAAAGAGAGGGAGCAGTTATAATGTTGGGGGTGCAGCCTCAGCTCAGGACGATGATAATCTGTGGGTGTTGACTAGTTGTAGAGTAAATCAATTAACGAGGCTTTTTACACCAGTAGCCTCTGTGGCTTTCACCTGTGGCCTTGATCGTGTTAATGCCCAGGGCGCTGGGGCATGTGGCCGAGCGCCTGATTGTGGACTCCTGGAGTATGGGCGTGCACGCGTGTGCAGTGAGCACACCTGCGCCTATGGGCTGGGGGGGAAGCCGCAGCGGCAGTGAGCAGCGTGACCACGGAAGAGGCGAGGCCACGAGACGATGTGCAAGAGAACACGCCAGAGAAAAGGTAAGATCCTTGGCAGGCAGGGAGACTCGGATGCCCGCAGCCTCCCTCGCCCCCACTGCCGAGTGATGCCAGCCTCCCTGCATGCCAGCCTCCCGGCTGGTGTACCTGGTTCCCTGAGGGAGCATTAAAGCCTAAGAAAATCCTCTGACGGCTCCCGGATTCCCCTTTATCCGTCTGTCCATATCCCTACTGCCCTGCCCGTGCCTGCTGGCGATGCAACAGTGTAAAATGTTAAAATGGTTAAAAAAAAAAAAAAACTATGCTTGCAGTAAGGTTTTATTTCTGAAACTGTCAGGAGCATCACCTGGGAGCATACACGTTTTAAGTATTTGAAGCATGAGGTCAGGGGACAGGTCAGAAAACCTCAGGGGCCAGTCTTCCCGCTCAGCAGCTGGGCCTTTGCCTTGGACAGACTGGAAGTTAGCCGTTCAGACAGTAAACACCCAGCATACGTGCGTGTTCTCCATCCCGAGTTGCAGCTTTGCAGCAGGAAACGCGCTGGCCCTGAGCTCGCGGTGGGCGTCTTCTCCTGCCTCCAGGGTGTGGGAGAGCGGCCCAGGTGCCTCCAGGCCTGGGTCCACTCAGAGCTCAGTCCACCTTCCTCAGACGGCTCCCCTGGGGCACTCAGACTCTGCCAGGTGTCCCCCAAATGGCCGTCCCAGTCCCCAAAGCAGACAGACCCTGACTGCCAAACACACTTTTCCATTTGTAGCAGTGACCACATTGTTTTGTCTACTTTTGGCTTTGCTGTTGTTGTTGTTCATCTGTTTCTCTTCCCACGGAGAGGGGAAAGTCCCTCCTCAAAAGTCTCTTCCGAGTCAGAGAAGTTGAGAGGGCCTGAGGAGAAGGATGGAGGCAGGGAGAGAAAGAAATAGAGGAAAGGGGAGAGACTGTAGGAAGAGTGAGACCGTAGTTGAGGATCCATTTAAAATCCCCACGCAGCACTGGTCTTTGCTATTGGAGTGTCGGCACCAAGTCACAGCAGGAAGCACAGATACACTCCTCAGGGTTTGCCTTGCACTGGGAACACGGACACAGATTCCACCAGCTTCCTGATGTGGAAGACGCTGGCTTTCCCAAGCACACACAATCCGATCAAACGTCTACTCGCAGATGGAATGAGGACGCACACGGCATTCGACCCTGTGAAAAAAGAATGTGATTCTTGGCTATGTCTCAAAAGGCAGCCACATAGCTTTCCCTTCAAGGGGGTCACGTGATGCTCTCTAAGACGTGTGACCTTCCTGCTGGACACATACACACAGAGCTGGTCACCTCCTGGAGTGTAGGGGGGGTGCCTGGCAGCCCCCCCCCCCCCAGTCCAGGCTGCTGCGGAGGAAGCAGTGGCTGCAGAGGAAACCCAGGCTGTGACTTTCCCAGTGAGCAGGCTAGAACAAACCAAAGCCCTGATGGCGGGTTTCCCCTGTGCAGGGCCGAAAGCACTCCTCAGGCAGCTCTGCTTCGGATGAAAGAGCACGTCTCCCTGAGTGAGAGGCAGGGCTATTTTTAGTTCAGATTTCTCACTCAAACTGGTCATGAGGGCCCCTGTGTACAACCTCCCTGCCACAGATCCTGCTACAGAAATCAAATAGCCTGCCCCCCACCCTCACTCCTCCCTCTGCTGGGGATCCCCAAACGTGGCCAGGTGTGGGTTTTCAATGCAGGGACCTCAGCTGGGGTCTGCACAAAGAGATCTCTAAATGAGGGTGCAGCCCTAAAGACAATGGTCGCATGCTTTCCATGTTAACTATTCTAATCACCTTAATACAGTATATTCAGACATTGATTTCTAATCATGCACGCCTAAAGCTTCTATAACATTAGAATGCAATGTTACATCTGTTAGAAAATAAGAACATTTTTTAAAAA